GCAGGATAGCATTACTGACGAGGACAAAAGAGACCAGACCATTTCTGGCTTGTTAGCCGTCGTCAGTTAGTCACATCCAACCCTCGGAGCTCGGTCCCGCGGCGCGTTAGTTAGAGATCGAACCTCCTACATTACGCGCCACTGCGCGGCTGCTGGTGGATCTAGGGAGAGAGAGAGTTCCCGGGTACAGTGAAACGATTGACTTCCGCAGCGCGATCGGCGAGCGCCCCTCTACCATTGTATGTACCCCTGCTCTCCAAACGTGCCACGTAGTAGATGCGCTAGACCAACACGGGGTTCACGTTGGATTCTGGCAGGCCTTATCAGATTTGCGCACCATAACAAATGCCAACATTTCGGGGTGCGGTAGCAAACCCGGTTGTCGGCAGACGTCGCGCACATTGAGACCCTTGCCGCCCTCCCCATTGTTTTTGTTGGTCAAAAACCTGGTCATTTGCTGTGTGGATCGGTGGGTGTGGAGTGGAACGCCAAGGTGCGGGCTCGACCGTGCCATCCACCTGCGCCATCTCCCGCTTCCGGTCTTCTTGACTCTGTGTTGACACCGGGTCCAGGAGGAGGAGGAGGAGGAGGAGGAGGAGAGAGTGCGGTAGATGCCGTGAAAGTCTGCTATCACTATAAACCAATCCACGCGCACAACACCGTCTCTGCTCTCACCTTGATGTGGAGCACACGGTGGACATCGCCGGCAACGACGGCCGAACTGCTGTATGTACAGTGCATGACCGATCTGGTGAAATGTTGGCCGAAATTCTGAAATGCGTTTTCGATTAGGAAGGATTACTTAGGTGGGGTTGTAGTGTTGCTTGTCAAGCGACATAATCCCATAATATTTCGGCCTCGCCAGTATGTCGGCTTTTGAATGCACTTCTTTTCGACCTCCCATAAAAGCCACACTTGCTGAAAGATGACTACTTAAGTAGCATGTACTTTTCACATTGATTTTCGATGGTCATATAAACTTAAATATTTTTTATAGAAAGCATGCACAAGAATATTCATTCTTTAGGTTTTAAAACAGTTTCTAATTATCAGATTTTTAAGACAGCGCGATGTCCATACATACAGCGTCGCACATCTCCGTTTACGAATGCTCCTGGTGAAACGTACCACATAGTCCACATCCACTGCAAAAATTTATAAACTCAGCATGGTATCGTCTTAAAGACATAGAGGAATATATGATTTTTCTTATACGGAAAGCGTACACCTTGTAAACTTGAATTGCTAAATGGTAACGCAACGGCTGATCTGGCCCAAAATTATTCGGGAGTTAGAAAACGTCTTCAGGACCTAAACATACGCCTTCTTCAGACGTAAAATTTAAAGACAATGCTATTTTCTACCTAACGAGTAAAATAAAGCATATTCTTGTGCATATTTTCTATAAAAAAATATTTAAGTTTATATTACCATCGAAAATCAATGTGAAAAATACATGCTACTTAAGTATTCATCTTTCAGCAAGTGTGGCTTTTATGGGAGGTCGAAAAGAAGTGCATTCAAAAGCCGACAAACTGGCGAGTCCGAAATACTATGGGATTATGTCGCTTGACAAGCAACACTACAACCCCACTTAAGTAATCCTCCCTAATCGAAAACGCATTTCAGAATTTCGGCCACCATTTCACCAGATCGGTCACGCACTGTACCTGATCTCAGCCGACAGGACAACGAGCCCGTGGTTCATTAGTTAGATCGTTGAAATTCTTACCAACAGGTCGCGGGATCGAGCATTGGGGTAGGGCAGGTCTGGCTGACGACGCCTAATAAGCAAGACATTAAACTAATTTTCCCCCATTTCTTCCCTGTGGCCATGTGCATGCGTATTGTGCCTCGTCCGTCAACTTCTACTTTTTAGTGATATTTGCTCTGTACCCTGATAATTTTATATTAGCACATGAATACCGGCTGTTGTTTTGGCTCTTTCTAGTATGTCTAAACGACAACTCCTTGAATGTGGAGAGGATTAAATATATTGGGCAAAACAGACGAAAGTGTAAGAAGGAGGCTTGCCATAGGCATGTCACGGTCGCCGCTTTCTACAAAACTCCCCTCTTTGGAGGTGGGGGCGTCTTCATTGACATTCTTCTTGTTGACTCAAGATGAGAAGAACTCCTCCATCAGAGAAATAGCGCGAACGGCAGGCACCACGGGCGGTTGTTTGTCATTCATACGCCGCAGGATGCCTCGGTCACGAGCCTTACCTACATAAACACTCATATTCGCCTGAAGAGCTTGTCAAAAATAGAGGAAATTTCTTATGCCAAGCCTGTTTACAGATTCTCGAACATTGCAGAAGTAACGCCTATGGGCACTTAGGACTCAGTTGCCAACTTATCCATCGACGGTCTGCACAGGCAGGCCCTTTTGAGGTGCCTGTGGTGAGAATATATTGCAATCAGGGTAAGCCGTCCGGCTTGCAAGCGTTTTGTGGTCTGGTGGTTGGTGGAAATACATGGGCGTGCCGATGAAATTCATCGGACGCCCAAATTTGGCTTGGCTACCGTAACATCTGGTATTTGGCTAAGGGCTTCTATTGATAGAATTGAGAGTGCTGCTGCGTACGATGTCATTTTAAGGGTTAGTATATTGACAAGGCTGTCTTAAACAACGTCACAGGCAAGAAATACGTGAATAAGGGCTTTTTGTCCAGTGCGGATGACTGTTATCGCATAGTTATGGCATTACTGGATCCACTTGTACAGGAAAACGAGCCCGTGGCTCAGTGATTATAGCGTTGGACTTCTAACTAAGAGTTCGCGGGGTCGAGCCTCAAGGGTTCCAAAACCTGGGGTTAGCTGTGGTTGGCTGACGACGGATAATAAGTCAAAAACGGCCATTTCTGTCCCCTTGCCTTTGTCAGTAATGTTATTTTGCCTATTTAACTAGCCGTTCTGTGTCTTTGTCGGTAGTCTCCAATCCAAAAGGTCTGACAGGGTGTGCTATGTTAGTATCAGCAAACCATGGCCCTCGCAGCCCGGCAGTTCACAGACACCTGGTTCCCTGCCGATAGAAGCGCTTGCGCTCCCGCTGAATATACAGGTGGTGGGCATAGCTGCCCAGTCATCCTCGTCCTTCCGACCCCTGTTGAGGTGTTTTTGTTGTTGCTCAAGTACGTGTTGTAGACCAGGGAGTGTGGTCGCACGCCTAGGTGCGGGCCCGGCCGTGCCAGCCACCTGCGTCCTTTCCCGCTCCGGTCCTCGTAAAGCTGTCTTGACACCGGGTCTAGGTGGGGGAGGAGAGTGCGGTCGACGCTGCGCAAGTCTACCATCACTGCAAACTACTCTCACGTGCAGGTCACCGTGCCTGCTGCACCTTGCTGTGGAGCACACGGTGGATATCGTCAAAATCAACGGTCGAACTGTCGTGTGTGTGAAATTATATAACTTGTTCCCCTAACCCTGCACGATGAACCACGCGAAAATTGTGCTGGACTAAAACTAGGGAGTCAGATCAGGGTCCGGTACGCGTTATTGGGCTGCACGCCCATTACAAGTGCCATGCATGCGGGATGTTGTGGCACACCTAGGTGCATGTTCGCGCCGCGCCAGCCACCTGCGCCTGACTCTACTCCCGGCCTTCCTGGCTCTGTCTTTACACCGGGCCCGGACGGATGGGAGAGGAGAGAGTGCGGTAGGTGCAGAGAAAGTCCACTATCACTACAAACCAGTGCATGCGCAAGTCACTAATTCACAGGTAAGTCACCGTGCCTTCTGCATCTTGCTGTGGAGCGCACGGTGAAGATAGTCGGAAACGACAGTCGAACTGTCAGTCTCTCATCACATAGGCGCCAGTCTCTCACTGGCTCGCAATGTGGAAATGATCACTGCACTTTCCCCGGTCCGCCCCGAAGAATTCTTTGAGGCAGACGAGAAAGTTCATTTAGTGTCTGCACCGTCTAAGGTCCCTGGATGTGTACATGAGACAGTTCTCGTAGCCAGGTAGGTTTGTAAGCATATTCGACAGGCGGGAACTTGGACAGTCCTTCTTGTTCAGCGGGAGGAGTACCGACAGAAACGATGAATGGCCATTTTCGACTTGCTATCCATCGTCCGTCAGCTGTATCCAACCCCAGGTTTGTATGACCTTGGTTTCAAGCTCGAAGTTCAGCGCCCTACCATTAAACCATGGGCCAGTCGCCCTGCCACTTCTGACGATAGTCGAGGACATCACGCGTGGAAAAGTCGGGAGCATTCCACCCTGCCACTTACCGCATTGAGAAGTATGTCGTCCACAGTCGGGTAGGTGGCGGCGGCTGCTGCATAGTAAGTGCTCACTGGATATGTTTGTTGAGAAGTATTCCACCTTTTACGGCAAGAAAGAGACGGTGTACAGCATTTTTTAAATCTGCCTTAGGACGTGCCGTGGTATGGATCGATAGAAAACCGTTCTTCATCTTGCTTGACAGTTACTTGGACAGGATGAAGAACACGCGTCGCGATCCGTCCAGTCCACTGCTGAGTGAACTGAAGGGCAGTCGACACCAAACTGACAATTAATCGGACCGGACACTCAAACAAACACAGTAAAGATTCGCTGCCGGCTATAGGTGGTCTATTACGCAGTTTAAATCTACTCAGAAAACCCCTCTGAAGCGGCAGGTCATCATTCGAAAGGTTTCCGAAAGTCGACGGAAAGCTGATTTCCGTTAAATAGTTGACGTCACCGACGCAGTGTACGCGAACTTCAGGAACGTTCGCAGTTACATCTTTTACCTATCCAAGTACCCATCACTGTGGTTAAATGGGGCACCCCGCCGCACAGCGGTATCCTGCTGTTCATTGATTGCGGCAGTGCACGAGGACAAAATCGTCCTCATGTTGACAGCCCGACTGTCAACTCAGAGAACGTCTCCCGTGTACCCTACAGCAAGGTGGAAGCAGACACGACGACTTGTACATGAGTTTGTTTATAGTGACAGTAGATGTGTGCAACATCTATCGCACTCCATCCCCACCCTCTTCCACCTGAGCCCGGTGTCATGACAGAGTCATGAAGACCGGTGACGGGGGAAGGCGCAGGTGGCGGTAGTCGTCGTCATTGTCGCGGAGGTTGTGGCAGGGATGGTGGGCGGTGAGGATGATAGACGGCGGCGGCGGGGCATCACGGGTGTGGTCACTGGTCGTGGTCGTCATTGACGCCGTGGAGATTGGTGCAGGGGTGACGATGGGGGCGTTCGTGAAGGCGGTAGGTGGGGAGGGGAGGGGGGTGTTGAGTTGTTGTTGCACGGGGTCCTGAGATGTCCGACGAGATCGATCCACCCGCGGAATGTTCGTTGGCAGTGGTGGAAAAGGTGTGGTGTTAGCGTTGTGGATCGCAGGCGCTTGAGTCTTATGAGTTGCGCTTTTGGCTCTGGCAGCGGCGATCCGGTTGGCCTGGTAAATTGCTGCTCCAGTTTTCACTGCTCTCCTTCAGGGTGGTCGGTGCCTAGCGAGGTCCTCCCAGGTCTCCTGGTTGATTTACAGGCTGCCCTTATAGCGTCTTTTTGTCCTCTTTGCCCACAACCACTTGCAGCTACAGCACCGTAGAAGAGTCGCTTGGATAATCGCTCACCGTCCACCCTCACCACTTTGCCGCTTCAGTTGCCCCAGCATGGCGTGCACGCTGAGGATTCCGGTCCCTTCCAACGCTTCTGTGGAGGGGATTCTGTCCTGCCACCTCAGCTTTGGCATTTTCCAGAGACAGCGGAGGTGAAAGTGTTTGGGCTTCCGCGCTTGTTCCTTGTATACAGTCCAGGTCTCCGATCCACACAGCAGCGCAGTCAGGATGACAACCTTACACCTCCTGAGTCCTGCAGCTGGCAAAGGGCCTTGCTGGCTTTGGAGATGTGGTGAGGCACTCCGTCAGCTTCTATTTTACCGCTATAACTCCCACCGTCAATCGACAACTCTCACAAACCTTAGAGCGTGATTTATGGGTGATGAAGGGAGGTACCGGCCGCAGTCGTAGCGGTTGCTCTGATTTGTGAACCATGTTAGTTGCCTCTTTACCTGTTGGGTTGTAGACTTAACGGTGTCTGATACTCAACCGCCCAATGGCAGTTCCGGTCAGCATTGCAAGCCGCGACAGCGTCTGAATGAGGAGGTGTGGTTGATGGGAGAAATTGCGTCGTCGTTGGTAGGCGATGTCCGGAGCGTTTCACGGAGTTGGTAAGACAACACGACGGGGTGGTGTTGGCGCGTGTCATGGACAACGAGACAGTATCAGAGGCGTTCGCAATGACCAATGGAACGAATCAGGATTGTGTACGCGTCTTCACCCTCCTCACGTTCGCCATGCTGATGGGCGCCGACCGAGAGGAGCGCCGTCTGCAGGACCGACGGCCAGCCTCTCGATATCTGATGCATACAGGTACTAGCGCGAATATCCACAACCATTGTTTGTGACCTATTCACGGAGGACTGCGCACTCAATGCCGAAACCTAAGAAGACACACAAAGAAGCGTGGGTCTCCCCGCCTTCGCCTGCGTCAACTTTGAATTGACCATCATCACACGGAGGACGGTGGCCATGCATCAACCAGCACAAGCCGAAGAACACGCTTCGTCCGGGATAAGCGTGAAGAGGATTCGGCTAATATCGGCAGACGAATTTCCCTACTTAGGCAGTACACTCTCAGACAAATCCACGATCAACGACGGAATGGCGAACGGGATCTACGAGGCCAGCTAGGTCTTTAGTCGACTGCAGGTCTAGGTCTTTACTCGCCGCAATCTGTGCGTCAATGCGGCACTCAAGATGTACAGGGCAGTAACCCTGACGACGTTACGCCACGGGATGGATACCTAAACCGTCTACGTCAATCAAACCAGGATGCTAAGCTAGTCCCAATTCAGCTGTCTCTGAGATATGCTGAAGGGGAGGTCGCACGATAGAATCCCTGACACAAAGCCTAGGATCCTCAGCGTCCACATCGTGCCGAGACAAATCCAGCCATGGGGCGACCACATTGTATGACAAGCCCCATATCCAAGCGACTCTTTTATGGTGATGTCGAAGTAGGTGCTGGTTGGAAAGGACGGCAGAAATGAAGTTACACCCTGCAGTCTTCCCTCGAACAACTATAAGCCACTTCTACGACCCAAGGAAGACCTTGCCCAAATAAACAGATCTTAAAAACCGCTGTGAAGACTAGAGAGACTATTTTCGAACTTCACACGGTAGCCGCTACCAAATCCAAAAGAGCGGCTCACTATTCTCAGGCGTCGTGAACTAACAACCCCCAGCCTCTTCCGATATGTGCACGCTTCCAACGGACATTCCGCGCACAGACCAGCCTCATCGGACATCTCTGGGCCCCATGCAATAGCAACACAACTCCGTCACGCCTAACGAGGCCCCCACAGTGTCCTCGGTGACGACTACTTCCAGTGGGCAAACCCCCCATAGCCCACGGCCCGCCAATATAACTTCCGCAGCGACTACCACCCCCATCCCCACAACTCCACTGCCAGTACCACGACCGCCGCAACGACGGGGACGACCACCATCGTATCCACGCCATCAGTGAGGACACTCTGAAGGTCCTTTCACTCACCACCTCTTCCACTACCCCCTGCCCCAGCAGTACATACCTAACTCCAACCTCTCCCCACCACGATTGTATCTTCACAGCATGCATTGGCCTGATCAGTTACTTGCGAACCCAGTGCCCGAAGCACCCACATACATCCGCCGCATCTGCCCAAACTACCTACACTGACCACGAACACTCGGTCACCGCATAGGTCACCTCGGTCATATGCGTCTCCATGAGGATCTGTGATATAACACCACAGTTTAGACCCCGTCGACACCGCCAGTCAAGCCCAAACGCCACAGGCCTGTCCCACAATCGTCGACGCATGGACAGGACACGCACCTCTCGTAAAAGTAGAGAGCACGTCCTTTGGTAGAGAGACGCCTGGCGGATCTTATGTGGCAAGTGCAGACGGGCTCCTGCAATTGTTGACCACCAACAAAATGAACCCCACTAGCTACCAACCTTTTCATTCGATTTCTGAGCACGAGCTCGGAGTTTTCACCCGCGTTCAAACATGCTGGCAGCCTGATACTTGTGCAAAGCCGGAGCTAGGCGTGCTCGAAACGGCCTATATCGGGTATTCCGAGTTTCGGGCGGTGTCCGCCGGTTTAGCTCCCTAACTTCGTGGCAAACGTGCGCACATCTCGCCCCCCTCCCCCCTTAGGGAGTGTCAGGGCAAACCCTTTGCCCTCGGACCCCTTTCCCCTAACCAGCCCATATGATAAAAGGGCGTCCTACACGGATTCGGCGCCAGGGACCAACACGCGAACCGGAGACATTTCCTATGGCCCCCTCCGGTGGAACGGGCTTGCTGGAAATCCTCGACGCGCCTTCCCCAGGCCAGGCGCACCCTGACTAGGGTCTAACACCGTTCCCCCTTGTTGGTTTATTTCGTAACTATGCTCGGGCTCTAAGTACTGCAGCTGTGAGCACATCGTGTTGGCACTATCTCCCGCAGCCCTCCTCAGGCCTGACAATTGAGCAGCGTACTCGCCCTGCGCGTTCATGCGAACCCCGCGCGTGCAACGTAACGCTATGACCTGACCGACCCTGCATAACTCACAACAGGCCCTGGGGCGCACTTCCAATAGTTTGATCGGGCGTCCGCGCGAATCTAAATCGACTGCACCCGGCCGAGTTCCCGGTGCTTGCTTGACCAATGACGAACCCGGCTGAGCTAGGCCGCCGCGGATAGGAGAGGACAGATTAGGACGCGAATCTTGTTGACAGATTACCAAGCACACAGGCCCCTCGTGCCTGCTGCTTTGTTGACAATAAAGCTCGGCTGTCGTAAGATCGCGAGTACGCACGGCCAACTGAGATGAGAGAGAACCCCGTTGCATGTATAAACCGACTGATACGCCTCAACGACCAACTACTCCGAACAGAGAGGACTCATTGCCGAGGCGCATGCCTGTTAGCCTAGCTATTGGCCACCCAGTGCGCCCATGAGTGACAAATAGCCGTGAGGCTTTTGGCAAAGGTTGACTGTAAAATAATTCTACCCTGGGGTCCGAAGTCGCCAAAAAATTAGCAGCTTCATGCCGGAAAAGACAAGATAGACACCTAGTTTATATTCAGAGGAGATGGAAGCGGTAGATTTCAGACAATCCATTCGAGGGGAGAGCCGACGACTAGAAGCTGGATAAGGTTTTTGCACGGCGTACGAAGGCCAGTGTGGAGCTTAGCGACAGAAATGTTGCGTTACACACTCCAAGGTTAAATCCGGGCCGAAGGGCATGCAATCATCCTCTAAAAGGAAAGTGACACTGCATGAGGAAACTTGAAACGAACTCAGGGTCAAAGGTTCATTTACATGACGTGTCAAAGTTGGATTGTTTCATCACAGGTCTTGACTTACCACGGGAGCCACGAACGTTGGTCGTATACACACCAGGAATCATCCGGAGACAATGCACAGGAGGGTCACCGTTGGCACCCAAGGGTGACTCCAGTCCCGAGCTGAAAATGGACAAAAACAATTATGTAGAAAATGAAATATATTTTGGGATGCGAGAGGGAATCCAATTAATCATGCCTTACCTTGAGCCTTAAGAAAGAGAACAATTCGACAGCTGACTTATGCTGTCATGAGAAGGAGCACGTCCTCTGAACCGTCAGAAAGCCCCTTCAGCGCAGCTCCGGCTGAACTATGTCGCTGTGAGATACGACGTGAGTCCACAGTTCAACAATAATTCAGACGTCAGACGCCTTGAGCGCATATGCCAACTGGTTTCGGCGAACGGTGAAGGACGAACCTGTTCGCACGTGTACACGTGGGGGAACACCGCCGCAGACAGGTGTTATTAAGGAGAGGTTGCATTCCTAAAACCCTCTTAGCGTAGTTCACTACGTGGACTGCGCTGGCCAATAAACAGAGATACAACACATCCGTTCTCTCATCTCGATACTCTACGGGAAACCCGTCCAACAGCGCCCACAGCACGACGAATACAACTCAACCGCTGAAGTAATTCGTGCGTTAAAACTTAAACAATCGGGCGTCCCAGCTTAAGACCGCATCGTCACGCTGAGCTTCTGAGAGTTAGTAAAGGTAGCGTATTCTGGATCCCCAGATAATGAACGTTAGAGACTCCCGAATAATACAAAGCCTTTTTAAATTATGTAGACCCAACCTGGTTCAGAGGGAGCCAAACAGGGCTTCTCATCTACGACACTGAGTCCTCTGTGGGCAAAAGATGTCATGCTCTCTCTCTCTCTCTCAGACTTTTCCATGGCACTTGTCTGACTAGATATCGTCATGCGTATGGGTTTGTAAAATTGTGCTGTTGGGCGCGCCTTCAAGCTCCGAAAATCGTGGTTCCTAACTTTGGGTGATAACCGAATATCATGGTTGTAGTGGTTTTTTAAAACTGTTAAGGGCCTATTACGACGGCCGAAATCGGCCGTCTTTTCGTTCCTTAGTTTATTGCAAGCTTCCCAACGTATCAAACCGTATATTTAAAAGCGCACACATGGTTTCGGTGAATGTATTTCTTCTGAACACCTCAATAGATCAATCATACTTCGCGTGAGCGTTTTCCGAGTTGTTTGTCAGTGCTCACGCAACTTGGACAGCTTCTAGGAATGCCCAAAGATATGTGGGGTAAGGCGCTGAAGGGGGAACACGTCTTCATTTCCATTGCTTAATCCATAAATTATTTTATGAACCTTGCTAAGGTCTGTGAGGTGATCGAAGAATCCCTGCCTGCAGCAGCCGCCTGCCCTCCTCTCTTCCGGGCCGGAAGAGGCTGAGGTGTGCTGTCAACCGGCCATTCCCTGGCCACTGAAAAAATGTGCAAGGGGATTCCCCCTTCCCTCACTTTCGGTTCCTTTCACAATATCGATCTTTCTCGCCTACAGTGCGTTCACCATTAAATGTGGCACATCGAAATCCTCAGTGTGTTATCGCGGTAACCCAGCTATATTCAACCATTTAAGTTTGCAGGCGAACATCCTACGAGGCACCCATTCTCTCATAACATAAGATAGGCGACAGCTATTGATGGGAAACTATAGGTTATCTGGAAATATGAACATTATAAAAAGTTTGCTAAGAATATATTCGAAAGGGAAAGTTTTCTGATCAGAAGAAGAAGCGATCGCTGGAACAATGGCTTTATTCGTCATTGGCGAATAAAGCCATTTTTCCAGCGATCGCTTCTTCTTCTGATCAACTAGTTCCTGGAACTCGCATTTTCGCTTGTATCGGAAAGTTTTCTGTCATGATGCATCAGACGCATCTCCGCCAACACATGACCGAATCATACGATTGGGCTAGGTGTGGCCTCGGCCCAGCCTCATTTGACTAGGTTTTCGGACCAATGCAGAAGCAATTTCACGCATCAACTTGTGCATTTAACCGCTAAAATAAAGTATATTAAGACTGAAATGCATAAAATTATCTCCGTAAAATAGCCCCCATCGTCTAAATGTTCCGTCATGATGGCATCTCTGAATACACGGAATAAATCTCCTCGTTGATGTTGATCAAGTGGAGGGCTCCTTTCTGGGGGTAGTTTTGCACGCCGGTTATCGGCTGTCGTCCACCTTAACGTCGTCCCAGTGCTTGTTATACTGTGGTACGCAATCTGTTTCCTTTGTGCTGTTTGATAGAGTTGCCTGTGTTCATTACTGTCATTATCTAATAATTTAGGCACACGTTAAGTGCAAATAGGTCTAATTGGCAAACGATGCCCCCCCCCCACCACATCAGCTGCTTGGCGTAACTTTATTGTTCTAATATATTGTTTATTATTAGTAATGAGAAGTCATTATGAAATATAAGTATTACGGATTGACCCGGAGCACCGTTTATAACCTCATCCAACGTCAGAAACGGGCTTATTATGCGGCAAAGGACGCTCCTTATCCTTTCGTTGTCTTTACATCGTACGCGACATAGCAGTCACCGGAGTTGGAAATGCCAGAACTAACCTCAGAAATTGCGACGGGTGGGCACTTCATGAGTATAATTTGATGAAATTTGTGGGATATGTGGAGGTAGTTGAAGGCCTTTAGGTAGCTCGAGGCAAACGTTTCCTCTTGAATTTTCAGAAGTTTTGTTTGAAGGAGCAGTTGCCATTGTGCACATTGAAGAGGTTATTTGATACGCTGCATCCGAACCATTTGGTGGTTCCCAAGTACCCAAGGACACTACTACAGAAACCCAGCTAACAGTTGGATAACTGTAGCTACGTCCATCTGGGCCTTTAGCATGGTCTGCTCGATGAGATCCGCCGTCGGCAGCCAAATAGAATTCTTTAAATGCGTCTTTAGTTGCACATTGACGGAATTAAATTATTTAAGGGGTCTGGCCAATGCCTTTGGTCAATCATCGTCTGTGTTAACCATCCGGTGATTGGGCGACCGTTCGTCGATGGAGTATTCTACGGTTATGGCAAACCCGAACCGTTGGACTACTTTCTCGGCGACTGCGTTAATGAACTAAAGGAAGTTACATAACTTGCGCTATTTTCAGCTGGTTCCTGCAGCTGAACATAACCGATGGCAAGACAAAGATTTCGCAGGTAAAGTCAGAATAAATAGTGATTTAAAAAAACGGAGGTGACGTGTCCTCGCAGGTATTAACTGAAATTCTAAAGTGGTTTTACGGGGAAGAACCCTTATGAAGCATATAGATACCAGTTCGGAAAACGAAAAACATGAAAAAGAAATAATCTATACATATATTTTTGGTGTGTTATAGGTAATCTCCGAAAGTACTGCACCGATTGCGCTGAGCTTTTGGCACAACCTTCCCTGCGCCCAGGGCCGGGTTTTTTCTGCCTCCCTTTGTAATTATGCCGATGGTACGCCTGTGATAGGTAAAAAATCGGATTTTTTCCGACATAACAACGCCACCTGCTGTGGTCACTTGACCCGCATCCACGCGGACACACGTGCGCCCGCCGAGCCACTTGACCGCAATCCGCTCAAACGCACGTGCTCCGCTCGACGGCCGCGCTCACCCACCCTGCAGGTACTTGGGCATGCACTCTTCCCTCCCCCTGGGTCGATGCAATAGGGGCAGCTAGGCAAACCACCCACCATGCAGAAAAAACACGCAAATCTTGGACTCCACTTGAACTTGCCTCACACTACCCACATAACCGGGCTCTCACCGCTTCCATTGTGATTTTCGGCCGCGGCCGGATGCAGTTAATATCACCCCTCCCCCCGCCGCCTCGGCCATCGGCCTCTGCCGCAACTTGACCGCAATCCGCTGGGACAGACATGTGATTCTCTCGAACACACGTGCACTCTGCTGGTGACGGTCACCGCCGCAGACATAATTGAAAACACCTCCCCCTCCGACGAAATGTAGAACGGGCGGATAGGCAAACCACTCCCCCCTTCCCCAAAAGGACATACAAGTCTTGGCCGCCACTTGAAGTTGTCCCAATCAGATACTTAAGGATTTCGGTACACGACTGGATGCAGTCAACAACTGCTCCGCCTCCCCCAGAAGATAGAAGGGCAATTTCTCCACCTCCCACAGAGGATAAGAGGACAATCCTGTTCTCAACAGAATAAACATGACAAGCTGAGAGTGGCCGATTCAAAACACTTCCTATCTAACATCAGCAAGTAAGACTCATGCCTCCAAACGACGTCTTTCGGCGCAGATATCGTGACAGGTCGATTCATGTCGACTTTCAGAGTGAAAGGACATATTTATCATACAGTCGGCTCCCTTCTTCCGCCCCAAGAGGGTCAGCACAAATTCGTATAAATGTACTTTATTGGTGATGACAATGACGAACTGAGGGCACGCTGTGGAATTTCCACCGGAATAAAACGGTTCAGCGTTCCTAAACTACAAGAGCTTCTTCGTGAACACACTAACTTACTGCGTTTGTTCAAAACCGCAATTACCCTGATGCTAACTGATACGCACAAGATTGTCATTCATGCAGAGAAGACGCCTGATGGACAACATGAACGGCCATTCAATGTTCCTACTATAGATTAAGTGGCAATTGCTGTGGTCGGAGACCGATTTCAACGCAGTGATATTGTTCTTCATTGGCGAAACGAACAAATGAAAGAGTTACAAAAACTCATCGGCGCTACGCCGCCCTGCAGTATCCATTTACTTTTCGGGATGGTGCCGGTGGATATTACTTCAACGTTAAGATGATAAATCCAGTCAGTGGCGAGGAAACGCACATGAAATGCAACGCAATGAACTACTACTCCTACCGACTTATGATTCGATAGAATGTAGGTAGTTTCCTTTTATAATGCCGTCAATTGTTTCACCACTACATTGTGGACATGCATACAAAAATCGAAATAGAACGCCTGCTTTTCATTCACTTGAATCGGACCGAGCTGCGCCCTGAAGACTATATTCAGTTGCATGATGTAGTTGTAAACGACGGTAATACAAATAGCGTTGTAAGACTGAGGATTTTGTCATCCACAGATACAGACAGTTCATGTCATATGTTTGAGAACGCTCGAGGTGCAATTGCTCACATTTGTCCGTACGGGCGTCCAGACCTACTCACTACACACACATGCAATCCCGCTTGGGGCGATATTTACCAGCTCCTGCTTCCCGGGCTATCGCTGGTGAATAGGTATAACATCACAGCACGGGTTTTCAGGAAGAAACTGCAATCGCTGATGAACTTCATGGTGAAACACGAGGTGCTTGGGTCTGTGTGCCGCTAGATGTATTAGCTGAGATGACAAAAGAGGGGACTGCCCCCACGCACATGTCTTGGTCTGGCTCTATGAAAAGAGCACTTCCAAGGAAATTGACGTTGCAATATGCGCTGAATTACCTGACGCCGACGTCGACAATGATTTGCACGAAGTTGTGACGAAGAATATGATACATGAACGTTGAGGTGCACTGAGTCTTAATTCTTCCGCCCCCACCCCCCGCATGCTAGACGGAAAATGCTCTAAGAGGTATCCTCGGGCATTCCTATGCAACACAGTTATCGTTAATGACGGAAGTCCCTTATATCATAAACGATCAGAGGAAGACGTTGGCAAATTGGCGACCGTGCAAATGCGAATCAGTGACATACAAGTCGGTTACCGGTGGGTTTTTTCGTATTCGCCTTTGCTTTTAAAAGCAAACGCAGTTGACATAAACATGGAAAACTGCAATTCCAGGAAATGAATTAGGCACATTTTAAGTACGCGAAGAAAGGCAGCAAAGTGGCCGTTTTTGGCCTTCAACACGAAAGGAGAGAAAGATATGCGGACATACAACTAGATGACATCGTATAGTGTCGTGCTGGAAGATGCGTCAACAGCAACAAAGCCGTGCGGTCGATCCTTTCTTTCCCAATCCATGAGCGAAGGCCTGGTATTGTTCACTTGCAGTACACTTAGTGAATGGGCAATGTGTTTACCTTACAGCTGCAAATGTGCAACGGGTTGCCTTAGGTCAACTGGACCGCAGCATTAACTGCGTTCTTCACGTTAAGCCAAACTGACGCGTTTGCGAACTGTCAATAACAGGGTTGAAGGAATCTTTTTCTGAGATGCGCCAGGAGGAACTGGCAAAACGCTCCTATTAAGACTGATTTTGCCAGCAGTATGATACAAAAATGACATAGCCTTAGCACTCGCATTCTCCGGAATAGCTATAACCCTGCTACCCAACGGAAGGATTGCTCATTCTGCTTTGAAATTGCCGTTGAACGTGTAATTCATTGATGCTCCCACGTACAACATTTCAAGGCATCCCACACGAGAAAAGTACTGCAGAAATGCAAACTTAATGTTGTATCCAGCTGGTCAACGCTTGGAATTCTCCGCGCCCTCCTCGCAAGTGCTTCCACATTTGGCCCCTGTCGACATTCCCCTTCCCCCCTTTTGTAACCCTCTTTCGAGCGTGACCGGCGTTCTTTTAATTAACTAGTTTTTATATTCTGATATTGCGCTGGCAATTCGATTTGCTGGAATAGTAACAAATGAATTCTTTGTCTAGTGTATTCATTATTTGAGGTTTGTACGCTTTTTATTGTTACATTATTCTATCAATAGTACCGTATATACACTGAACTCTGTCTTGGCTTATACGCGTCACTCGTCTGGCAAGGAATTCTACACTTGGTGTTTGGGTTAAATGCACTATGGCTCGAGGCCCATGATCGAACACTGCAAGATTTGCGCGGACAACAGCGGAAAAAGTAAATGTCTGTCTGAAATACTCTACTTTGCGGCGCCATGTCCAGACGGTAAAATAAACTACATTCCGGTTGCAAAATGCCCGAACAACTGACATATTCTCACACATTAATTTCTGGCATTTGGGAGTGGAACGGTACCGGTTAATCTGACTTCAGGATGCAGTTCCCTACCCTTACCTTCGGAAGTTTGGTGTCCTCAAAAGAAGACTTGGTTGGATAGGTGTTTCCCGATATTCGGACCAATTATACCGCTCGAATGGTTGAGCGAACGAGCTATTCTTGCGACCAAGAACGAAGATTTGCACCATCTTAACCATATTATTCAATGTAAGATTAAAGCGAATCAGTCATGTACACGTCCGTTGACACTGTTGTGGACGCAGACGAGGCAGTTATTCATGAAACAGAATTTTTTTCATTCACTTGATCTGCCAGGGAAGCCGCCGCACGTACTGCAATTGAAAATCGACGTGCTGACTACCATGTTGCGTATTATCAACCAGTCGAAACTTTACAACGGCATGAGACTTGCAGCAAAAAAACAATGCGACAACGTCGTGGAAGCAACTGTTTTGACAGGACCTTTCAAAGATGGACATGTCCTGATTCAAGGTATTCCACTCATTCCAACTGATATGACATTTCAACTTAGGTGACTGCAATTGCCTATTCTATCGTCGCTTGCAATCAAGATTAACGAAGCTCAGGGTCAGTCTCTAGAACTGTGCGGTTTGAATCTGCAAACGGATTGTTTCTCACATGCCCAACCATATGTTGAGTGCTCCAGAGTCGGCAAACCCGAAAATCTGTATGTCTGCACAGACAAAATGCATTGTATACCTACAAGTATTATGAAATTAAACATATTCGCAACAAGTCCCCTTCCACTTTTCCTTCTTCCCCATGTCATCACATTGAGCCACAGCAACGCGTGGCCGGGTCCAGCTAGTCTGCCATAAAATGAGTTTGAGAAACGATGGGTTTGTGCGTATTTTCTATGACGCGCGCATACATTTATGAAGAAGGTTTCAAAAATTAAATATTTTCCAGTGTAGTCTAGCCACAAAAGTATAATTTTCGATTTATTTAAATACTGAAGGGCAAAGGAGCAGAGACAATTTTTGTTGCGGATGGGGCCTGTCATTTTAGCTTTCATCCTTAACATTTATTTATATGAACACCTCTTGCTGTCATTTGAGCTTTACCCTCCCTCATACCTAACACTATATGTAGTGTAAGGAGCATAAACGCACCCTTCTGCGTAGACTCATTTAAGGTTTCCCATCTTTCACTGACTTGCTGAACCACTGTGCAACGTGCGCTGTTTGACACACCACTCCGACGATACCTGTGGGTTTGGCGTGTAAGACAATTCATTCACCCTTCCCTTGGCGTTAGTGTCGCACTCTATACACATTTGCATAAAGTGGAAAAAAATACGGTTGCTCAGATGTATCGATTTTTTCCGAACGCGGCAATTTGGGCAGTGTAAATGACCCATGTTAGAAGGTGATGACCACGGAATTCCACATCCTTTGGAGCTGCCACATTCACCAGTGCTAATTTTTTAAAATGCGCCTCTTTTGCCGACAACAACGCCTACAGTGCTGTTCCGACCAACAACCTACCCGAATCTCTTACATACTTTGGACAGAACCGACTTTTATATAATGCCTCTGACCTAAAGTTATTCAACCTTCATATCTGGCATCGTCTCGGCTGGATTCCTTTCGTGACATAATATATGACTACGTCATTTTAAAAGTTGATGACGTGCTCCGTTCTGTTCCACTATCACGTATTTTGAGGCTTACTGACTGAGTGTATTTTCTCA